GCGGTCCGCGCCTCGGCGGTCGGGCTCCTCGGGACGTTGGTGAGGCGGGGCCGGGGTGGGCTCCGGGTGGGGCTCCGCGGCCCCCTGCGGAAGCTGGTGCTACGGAGTCTCGTGCCTCTGCTGTTGCGCCTGCACGACCCCAGCCGGGATGCTGCTGAGGTCAGCCGCCCCCCTCGCCCAGACCGTTTCACCCCCGTCTCATCCGACACCCCCCACTCCCACCTGCCGCCCCTCCGGGTATTACAGGTCAGGGACTCTCCCGAGGACCTCAGGTGCATGCAGCATGGGCTCCCAGGGGCCCGGTCTTCCCTTGGGCTGCCCTGGGCTCTTCTCACACCCTTCATCCTGGCCACCTTCTCACCTCTTGCCACTTCCTGGGCCCCTAACCCTACTCCCTTCCCCTATCCCAGAGCTCAGAGTGGACCCTGGCCCGCTGCAACCAGGCCCTTCGCTGGGGCCTGCTGGAGGAGATGGTCACTGTGGCCCACTACGACAGCCCTGAGGCCCTAAGCTGCGTCTGCCACCGCCTGGTCAGTGGAGGAAGCAGTGAGCATGGGGGATTCTGTCAGCTGCCCACTTGTGCCAGCATTCGCCAGGGCCACTGCCCCCAGAATTGAGTCTCCACCCCAGCCAAACCTGACCATTGGTGTCACAATGTGGCAGGACCAAGGCGTCACACCATGCCGCCCTGCCCTGGGAACCCCAGACCCTGGGTCCGCCTCTGCAGCCTCCTCTCCATGCAGGATTGGCCCTTCGGTCCTTCCACAAACCCTTCTGTCCCCAGGTTCAGCGGTACCCGAGCCACATTCCCAGCTTCCTGAGCCAGACTCAGGGCTACCTGCGGAGCCCGCAGGACCCCCTGCGCCGTGCAGCCACCGTGCTCATAGGTGATGCAGTCGGGGGTCACACTGTTCCTGGCACCAGGGCTCTGGGAGCTGGGCCAGCCCTTTCCTGCTGGGCCGCAGGGCCAGTGCTCATGGGTTTGCTTTGGCCCAGGTTTCCTCGTCCATCACGCCAGCCCCAACCGCATCAACCAGGACCTGCTGGACTCCCTGTTCCAGGGTGAGGACCCGACTCGTCAGGACGGGGGGTCCAGGAGAGCGGGCGGGTGCGAGGGTGGATTGGACGGCAGTGGATGGGTGGGCGTCCGGGCGCCCCTACCTCCTTGCCTGAGCCGCCTCCTCGGCGCAGACCTAGGGCAGCTGCAGGGCGACCCGGAGCCGGCCGTGGCCGCCGCGGCGCATGTGTCCGCCCAGCAGGTGGCGCTGCTGGCCCGCGCGCAGGGCCGACCCCGTGGCCCCCGCCAGGCTCGCTGTTGGCCAGGTGCGGGGACAGGGGTTGATGGAAGAGGCAGGGGCGTAAGGGTGGTCGGGGAAGGGCTTCTCGAGGGGTGAGGCCCCACGTGCAGGGAGAGCTCCCTTTCCGCCTTGCTCAGTGCCATGGTGGCGCACGCCGACCACCACCTTCGAGGCCTCA